AGTATATTCGCCGCCATTATCTGATCGTAAATATTTTACCCTTTTGCCAATCTGAGTCTCAACTTGGATGCGCCAAGTTTTGAAGGTGATAAAGACCTGAGACTTGTGGGTAAGAAAATACACCCAGACATACCTGGAGTAATCATCTATAAAAGAAACATAGTAGAGTTTTCGTGAGAGGGAGGCAGTAGGAGATGGGCCCCACACGTCACTATGTACATACTCCAGTATCTCCGTGGAATTATAAGTTTCAACACTAAAAGCTCGCCTATGTTGTTTTCCCATGATGCATTGTTCACAAAATGCAAAGTCAACTTTATCCAAACCCGGTAACATTTTTTTCTCATCAAGAAGAGACAAGTACCTATCACTCATATGGCCTAGTCTGGAATGCCATAAATGAGACATCTCTCCGCGAGATGTGGTAAAGTTGACTTCTCCACAAATTGTGGTGCCCTCTAATAAGTACAGATTATTGTGCTTGTATCACTTAAGTATAACCTTCTTATCACTAGGTTTGACATCTAACACGCCATGTCTAGAGCTCCACTCCAAGCCGTGTGAGTCTAACACTCCAAGGTAGATCAAGTTCTTCCTCATATTAGGTATAAACCTAACGTGTGTCAGTGTTCGAGTGATACCATCAAACATGCGGATTTTTACAGATCCCACAATCTCAATTTTACAAGGTTGGTCATTCCCCATAAGAACAGACCCGTTTGATCCTAAGAAAGTACTGAAGAACTCTCTAATGTAACAAATGTGATAAGAACAAGCACTATCCAAAATCCATACATCACCAACAATTGTTGGTGAACTACAGAGGGCATATCTCTGGCATCATAGACCGTCGGCAAACACGTCTTCCTCTTCGGAGTGAAGATGCTCTGCAACATTCGCCACTTGAGGGAGATTCGCATCTCTTATTGTCATCTGACAGTACTTCTTGATGTGGTCATTCTTGCCACATCTCCAACACACCAAGTTTTTCAAGTTCCTCTTGTTAGGGGAGGGAACCCGAAAGTGAACTCTCCTGCGCTAAGGGGATCTGGATCTCTGCCGCTTGAACTCTGTTCGTTGCAAATTGTCTTGACCTGATGGTTGTGACTGACCTCGGATCACAGTAAGTGCACTACTTGAAGAGAGTGGGCGAGTGAATGACAACATCTCATGTTTCATCTCGTCTGCCAGGAGAGCACTTACAACCTTGTTGTAAGCTACAGCCTTGTTATCACGATGAAGGAGAATCTTTGATAGTGTCTGGTAGGAGGGAGGCAATGAGTGAAGTAGATGCATAGCTTTTTTAACGTCAGAAAGCTCCTGTTCCATACTTTGAAGATCTACCAACAAATCTCCGTAGGCGTGAATATGATCCTGAATTCTTGATCTCGGCCTGATCCTGAAGTTCAATAGCCTCATGTAGGTGTTCATCACATGTGAGATTTCCTTATGAAGAAATCGTCTCTGTAGGGCATCAAAAAGCTATGTAACCTCAGGATACTCCTCAACTTGCTTCATAACTAAAGGATCTAGATAACCCATCACAATGTAAACTGCTTGCTCTTGTGAATACCTTCAGTCAATGTCGGTAATGTGCATTGGTTTGTCTCTAAGCACATTAGCGAGACCCATAGACCTCAGCTTGCCTTTCACCTGCTTTTCTCAAAGCAGGTAATCACCTTGGCCATCAAGAGGAAGAATGTTGTACCCTGTTCCTCCAAGTTGTTTCGATGCAATCTTAGTTCGACAAAAATTAGAGACACCGTCTGTTGCCGCGTCAATTTCGTCCTTTGGATGCATTTTCAGCTACTAAAAATGGTGAAGATACACACCTTTGCGCGAATGCCTTGTGCGATCACCGTCGCCCGCGATATAGTGTGATCAACCGTGATCTCCGTTGCCCATGACAACCATCATTCGCAACTTACACCGTCCGTCACCCGCGACTATTGTCGCCCGTGAGCACCGTCACCTGCGACTCCTGTCACTTGCGAGCTCGTCGCCCGTGACCAATGTTGCCCTTTACTAATGTCGCCCGCAACTTAAATTTCGGTCATCCGCGACTGTCGTCGCCCGTGACCAATGGCGCCCGCTATGGCAATGTTCGTCACTCGCGACCTGCACCGCAAAAAAAATAAAATTTTCCGCTACCGCGGCAGCCTCGAAGTCCCCTAAGGATCCCAGAATAATTTCTCCGGCCGGTGCGGAGGGGGTTGCTATCGAGGCACCGAAAAAAACCTCGGGGGAAGAGTGCCCCACCGTTCGGGAGTTATCGCCTTACGTTCAGTGGGTCCCCGCCGCTCGGGTTTTTGTTTGCTGACCTTCGCCGCCGCTGCCCGAACTCTGCGGGCCGCCACTGCCTTTCGCCGCTGCACTACTCCGCCACTACCTTTCGCTGTCGCCGCTGCCTGCAGCCCGAGTCTTCTCGCCCTTGCTTGAAACTGCAAAGAACGGGGAACACCTCTTTTTCGACTCTTCGCTTTTAGGAATCTCGTCAACTCGTACTCGCTTCCTGACCTTGCTCACACACTTTCGTCGACTGTCACTAACCGAGCTTTGCCACCAGCACCTCGTGTCCCACAGTGAGTGCCAAGATCTGCAAAGAGCAGGACCGGAAGCAACAACACTAGCAAAGGAAGCCAAAAAGTACGAGACAAAGACTCGCCTCTCTCTCTCTCTCTCTCTCTCTCTCTCTCCTGATCCCTGTCTCTCACTCCCAAAATGCCCCGCCGAAGACATATTGTTACTGAAAACTATCAGAACTTTGCATAGAAACTTAGCAATGTTCAGTAAAAGTTGAAATCATTTTCACTATACACACCGTCAGTGAAAAACTCTGATACCAAACTAAACTAAACATTAAACGACTTGACAGCAAATGCTTCAATCACAATAAACAACTTATATAGACATGACTAAAACATTCCATCACTGTCTACCTCCACGCCTTGAAAACTGTGTACTGAGTTTTGAGAAAACTCTGAGACTACAAAAAACTCTCAACAGAATTCTGACACTGAAACAAAAACTGAAAGTTTCTTTTATCAACAATTTTTAGAAAGAAAACACAACAACCTGCAAAAAAGTCTACAGAGTTCTGAAAAAACTCTGAGACTAAAAAACCTCTCGACAGAATTCTGACACTGAAACCAAAACTAAAAGTTTCTTTTATCAACAATTTTCAGAAAGAAAAAAGAAAAAACCTGCAAAACTGTCTAAGAGTTCTGGAAAAACTTTGAGATTACAAAAAACTCTCGACAGAATTCTGACACAAAAACAAAAAACTGAAAGTTTCTTCTATTAACAAACTAACAGAATTTAACACATGTTTTTCACTATACATGTAAGTCACAGAACACCAAACAAAAATCTGAAACCTTTTCTGAATCGTAAGCCAGCTCTAATACCATTTCTTAACGTAAAACCTAAAGACAAGTACGAATCACACTAGACACTCATATAACGTGGTTCACCCTCAAGGGCTACGTCCACGGCTCAAACACGCGAGAGAGTTTATTCAGAAGGTGAATACACAATGCTGCTCTAGGAAGAAGCCTTGGCCTTGGGGGTATATTTATACCCAAAGCCATCGACACACCTAGCTATAAATAGCCATAACATGAGATTAATCCTTAACCGGAGTTAACCTCAACAAATCTAATTCTAACTAGGGTTAGATTACTTAAGTTGAATAAAGACCTGAAAATTAGTATTAACTTACATTTTGGATTGAATTACAATTGGGATTTGATTAACTGATGTTAAGTTACATTTAAAATCTAGTCTAGTTAGGATTAGATCTAGGGTTTGTGCTACTTGTAAATATAAGGGCAAACCACAACTCATTTTGAACACTTTGTAGGTCTCTCAGTAAAGACCTTGTTATTACTCTGAGAGTGGCGAACCACATATATATTTATTTACGTCATGTATATTTAACTTCTTTTGTGCATATATGGTTACCGCGGATTAAATCCGAGAATGACAAACCACGTTATATTTATCGACGTCGTATACTCATGTTTTTCAATTTATTCTTGTGCATATACTATTACACTGAATTCATGTCTTCTCTTTAACTTATATCATGTAAACAATAAAGTTCAAAATCCACATTTTTATTGTGCAAAAATTTCTAGAAATCTAATTGTAAATCAAGCTCAGGAAAGATAGTAATGGGATAGACTGCAGGCAGGAGGATGGAAGAAAATCAAAAAATGGTAAGAACCTGAATAGTAGAAATGCCACTGAAGGCTAAGAGAATAGGGTTATAAAAAGGCAAGTAGATGAAACCAAAGTCAAAGGAAAAGAAAGGAAAAAGATAAAGCGGGAATGTAGGTCGCATACCATCATCAGAGCTTATCAGTGACACGAAGCCACTGATTGGAGGCAGACAAAATAATAATAATGAGAGACAAGGATATGAGCAGCTGATGCGAGTCTGAATTTGCGGCGAGATAGTGCTGCTCAGCCATTGGGCACCCGCCGCCATTTCTGGCCTGCTTCTAAACAAATGTAGATAAGCACGCGAAATCAGCTGCAGTTCACATGAAGAGAGGAAGGAAGCAGAAGACAGTTCGTTATCTACCTCTGGATTTGGCGAAATTTCGTGGCCGTCCGTTTCTGGTCAGCATCGCCTCATCACACGGACTGTAGTCGTCGTCGCCGGATTGCGCTGACTGGCCGCGGCGTCGGCGAGCGGTGGAATGTCCGCACTCCGAAGCTTGTGTGCGGAGGCCGGACGGCCGGATATATGGACGGACAGACGGCCGGACGGGGCGTGGAACTTCGAACACTGGATTCGGCTGCCGGGTTTGAGTTTCGAGTCGTCGGCCGCACTGGATTTCCGGCGGCAGCAACAGGTCGGATCCGGAAGGTGAGGAGCCGGGCCCTCGCGCTTCGAGCTTCGCGTCTCTCTCGAATCCGGCTCGGGGTTTGTGTGCGGCGGTTGGCATTCATCTCGCGGATTGGGCTACCGGGAGAGACGGCGGGCGAGTGGTGCTTCCGCGGAGCTTGAAGCCTCGGAGCGCTTATTTTAAAGCCCGGACTCTGTTCACACGGCGGCTCGGCATTTTTTTCTGGCCCCTACAGCCTCGAGGGATTTTGGTCCCTGCATTTGGCTTTCTGCAGAGATTGAATTTTCACTGCCTGGACTGAATTCGAGCGGCAGCTCGTCGAGTGGAGTGGCAGGTCGGTCGGTTGGTTTGTGTTTGGGTGTTGCAGTGATTTGGACGAGTGCGCGGATACTTGAGTGGAGGCACGTCGTTGAATCATGTTGTGTCGTCCGTTTGGTTTCCGGAACAGAGCATTTTTCGGGAGCAGTAGGTAGCTTGGAGATTTCACGCACCTAAATCGGTGTCGAATCGCTACGCTCTGGAATGAGAAAAAGAAGCAGAGGGATTTCTGGTTGCAATGCCTCGTCTCATTCTCTAGCAGCTTTCTAAGTGTATATTATATCGGAGAGACGACTTAATTATGAGTTTGACAACGGCGAGCCCCGGCGGGGCTCTTGTGTTTAATGGCAGCCCAGAATTTATCGTTAGGAAGGCATCAGCTGGGTCTAGAAAGTGCCGGCGGAGTAATGTTGAGGATGGGAGGCATAGTCATAGACATGGAGAGACTGTCACATGGACGTGGAGAGGGAGTTTCTCGAGTGCTAGGGAGCTGCGAGCTGGCGGCAGAGAACCTGCAAAGTTAGGGTTGGTTCCAGGCAGAGGACGGATGGCGAGCGGCGTGTCAGTTTCACGAGTTTTTTTTGGTGGTGAGAAATTTTGCGGTATTGTTCCTCTCGGTTTGTCCGCAGACAGATGTGTTTTCAGTTGTGGACGTGCTTTGGTTAGCAACTCGAATTCTTCGACGAGTGGTAATGACGACAATAAGCCGGAGTGCAGGAGCAACGTCTCGGGATCTGCTGGTGTAAGGAGAAGTGAGATTAAGAGGATAGCGCATAGAAGGTTATTCCAGCTAAGGGCACAGAAGCAGGGCTCAGGAGAGCAGTGGGGTATCAAGTCTAGGAAAGTGAGAATTGGCCTCACATACAGATTGCTTCAGTTCGGAAGGGCAGGAGGAACTGGTGGCGGAGGACCCTCTGGCGGTGGCAATAACGGCAATGGTTGGGGTGGCTCTGGAGGCGGTGGAAATGGCGATGAAGAGGATCCTCTGCCTTCTCCAGACGAAGGAGGGTTCAATTTCTTCACGAGTTTGTATCTTCTTCTCCGAGAAAAGTGCCAGGCAGGGTTGTGGGTTTGGGCGGCTTCTGCATTCCTGGCTGGTTTTTTCGTAAGCTCCTTGGACTTGAAAGATTCCGCCCACGCCAGGTCCTTCTCCAAGCCTCGCATGCTAGCAGATGGAACCAATGGTGGCAACGGCGGTGGTGAGAAGACTGGGGAGAGAGCAGAAACTATTGACGGAAGCGGGGACGAGAAAAATAACGGGTTATCAGGGGCTGTTTGGGAGGTGAAAGGCGGAAAGTGGAAACGCTTCATCACAGATTTGGAAGAAGATGAGTTCTTGTTTGACGGTGTCAAGCGGAGTGAGGAAGAGGCCCAAGCTTACGAGCATAGTTTTGAGACACCAGAAGAGAAGAAGGACCACAAGGAAGACGTGAAGAGAAAGAGGAAATTAAGCTGGCCTCTTCAAGGAAGGAGCATCGAGACATTCCTGAAAGATGCCGGGGTTCAGTGTGGGGAACTTGTGAAACAAGTCTTTCTGCCTGCAGGGTTTCCTGGGAGCGTGACAGAGGATTACTTGGAGTTTACTTACTGGAGACTGGCGCAAATTGTTGCAAGTCAAATTAGTGGAGTACTCACAACTCAGGTTCATGCTACATCCTGCCTCTGTAGATGATTTGTAACACAATGTTCAAAACAATTGTTAATCGCTTCTCAAATCTTTACGCGACGTCGTTCTTATCCTATCACTTCGTGTTTACCATGCCAGCGATTTGTTTACATCATGTCGTAGGGAGTACTGTCCTCTTTATCTCTGTTCTCTGCCTTCGTTCCTGGGTGATTAAAATTACGGCACCTCATCCAAAATGGAAGCCCTAAAAATTACTGACGAAAGGTGTTTTTGCGTCCAGGCTCTTCTCTATGCTGTAGGTTTGGGCAAAGGAGCTATTCCGACTGCGGCGGCTGTGAATTGGGTTCTGAGGGATGGTATTGGTTACCTGAGCAAGATCATGTTATCGAAGTACGGCCGCCATTTCGATGTGCATCCCAAAGGGTGGAGGCTCATATCAGACATAATTGAAAATGCATCCTACGGACTGGAGCTACTTACCCCCGCGGTTCCTCATCTTTTCGTCTACTTGGCCGCAGCGGCGGGCGCTGGGCGGTCTGCGGCTGGTTTAATTCAGGTGTGGACTGTATTGAATACATCTGGACGACATACACTATATGCATGAAGTGGCCCTTCGAGAGAGTTTTTAGGTCGATCTGTAGAGGATTGAACGTACTGACTGTCAGGAGAAGTGTAAAAGCCAATATATTAAATTCTAGGTGTTTTTGATTGATTTTCTTCGAATTGGTGGGCTCATTCGACCGCTCGATCATCTGCAGGCTGCGACCAAGAGTTGCTTCAACGCCAATTTTGCAGCTCAACGAAACTTTGCTGAGGTAAGGTTTCCCAAAAGCCCATCTTTAGGTTTCCCCAGGATGGATGGAAGAATCCCTTTTCTAGGGGATTTTGAATGGTCACATTCTTAATCCCTATGCTGATTGCATGCCGTCCGAAGGCACGAATGGACAGCTAATGTACCTCTTTGTGTGATGGACTTTCAGATTATTGCTAAAGGAGAAGCCCAAGGCATGGCAAGCAAGTCTGTTGGTATCGGTCTAGGAATTTTGATATCTGGCTATGTTGGATCTTCGGGACCTTTATTGGTGGTTACTTTTGGGGCGGTCAGTGCCCTGCATATCTTTTTCAATTTGAAGTCATATCAGGCGGTTCAATTACGCACATTGAATCCATATCGAGCGAGTAAGTGGACCCTGTACTTCTACACGTTCTAAAATACGCCTGTTTTAATCTTCGGGAAGAAATGAATGTTTTATCGCTCATTTTATGCTTCTTGTCAAAAGGACTCTTTGCAAGAAAGTCGTATTGGCTGAAGTCGGAGCAAATCAGTTAAGTTTGTATGACCTTGATCCTCTACCCTAGACAAAGCACCGAGCTTCGGGTATTGAAAGGATGTTGACGAGTTAGCCTACGAACTTCGCAAGGTGCTGTAGAATTGTGTTATGCAATGCCAAGGATGTTGTGCCTCCTGCTGGGAGACAACCGCTGGTCAATGTAAACAGTGTTTCTATTTTCATCTGAGTTATCTCCTTCATCGTTGTATTCCAGGCCTTGTAATCGCGCAATACCTTGAAAGTGGAAGTGTTCCGACTATAAAAGACGTCAATGCGGAGGAACCCATCTTCTTCGGGTTGCCATTCTTCGACACGAAACAAAATGTTAACGAGGTAATTTCATGAGTCAACTTTGACTTGCATATTAGTATACGTCGAATGACTCAGATGGCTAACCCACCGACGCGCTAATCAATCTGAAATCTTCGTTAACAGAAGTCAATACAGAGGCTGTGCTTTATGCGAACATTCTGGACCTGCTCTCTATCTTTGCTCTGAAGTACATCCTTCTATCCAATTCATTACGGTTGTTAATCCCGTCCAGACTTTCGAGCAAACAAGGCAGGCATAACGTGTACCGGAGACACCACCATAAAATGTTCGCAGTACAGGGTCATCATATCGTTTCTCCCCCTTGCTGTTGACAATACGACTCTAGTTTCTAATTTGCTTGGTCTCTTGTTCTTTATGTTATCTGAAGCTTGCATCTTGCTTCATTTGTCACAGAAACTATTGAATTCTTTGTCTTCTGCGGCCAAGAAGGTGGCTGCTACCATAGAGCAGGATGTCGAGCTAGGTGCAAGTCTAGGACAGGTGGTGCACACAAAGGGCGAAGCAGATGCGTTGATGGATCTGTACAGTCACGACCAATATTTGTTAGCCAGGCGAGGAGACCGTATGATGGTAATACTACCTACTTTTTAAGATCATTATAATGTGTAGGTTTGTGAAAATTATCATAGAAAACCGTAGATACAGTTTCACTTAATTGTTATCCCCACAAAGAACTGGCGACCTGGTATGCAGATCATATCAATATGTTTTAACATTGTTTTTTTTGTTGTAGGTTGTTCTGAAAGACGCAGCATCACCTCGAGATATGTTAAGGGCCATGGTCCAGTTGATGTATATATACAACGCCGACAAAGACCAAAACAAGTCAGCTGGCATCATTAGGGACTGTAGTAGAGACGGCATACTTCGTGTTACTTATAATTTAATGGATAAGAATTTTGATAGTATAACAGGGGTCCTTGCAGAGGGTGGATGGGTTAGCGATGGGCTTGTTGCCAGGCCTGCACCGAATAGGCTTGTCGAAGACAATTCTCAAACGCTGCAGCACTTGGCTGATGTGAAAGCTTGAAACGGGTAGCAATAAAAGAACTTTTCAGGGATTATGGGTTGTTTGTCTTGTATATAACATTTTCTGGGTTTGGTCCACATGTGGAGATTCGGGATTGAGTTGTATATGGTTTCAGTAATTGGAGTCTCCTCAACATTGGACCAGTGGTTTTAGTTTATCATGGTCTCTGACTGTCACGTCTCAGGTCCTTTTCGCATCAGCTGTGGCCTGTTGGCAATCTCTGAACTGACTTGTGTAGAGCCTAGATCTTGACGTCATTACGGATTTAAACTTGCGATCTAAACGTGGTATGTGTTGTGTATGTGAGTGTGAGAGGACTAACGTGAGTGCTTATATTACATTGTTTTTCAAGAGATGTGGACCCTCTTGTTCGGGTGCGGTAGCCCTCAAATTAGTGTATTTGAAAATTAAGTTGCATTGCAAAAGCTACCGGAAACCTTCAGTGCATTAATGGTTTCATTTCCTGTTCACTTCACCCTCACGATTTTGGAGGTAATATGTAGTGCATTATGTAACGAATCTCCGAGCAGTATTCGTTCTCTTTCACAGAAGTTGATGGAAGCCACAACCCAATGCCAGTTCAAGTATGTGACATAATATCGTCGATGCCGGAGGTTCAAGGATGATGAACAACTCTGGCTTGTATGGAAACAAACTCATTTGGAGACGTTGTAATGAAAGTTGTCTTACGAAAACATCAGATTATTTAGATTGCCCGTGGGCAATCTCAAAAAAAAAGATGTGAAGAAAAATTTTGACAGCTCTAGACTATTTGCAAAAGTACGTACCTCGTACAATTTCTAATTTCACTTTCAATTAACTACAGAGGTGGTAACAGATGGCGTATGGTTAATCTTCATCACTTGTCTTGGGTATCACGGACCAAGTCAACGATCAAAGGATGACACTGGAATGTCGAATATGGAAATCTTGATTCAGGACATGCAAAAGGGTGTACTTCCGTTTGTAACACATTGAAGATATCTGTATAATCAAAGTGAATTTCTCTAGATTTGATACTATCCTCCTTTCAGCTTTAAGAGGTGCTCCAGTACTCTTGTAATTATATACGATCTGGATGAACTGAGAGTAAAGAGTGTACAAATGATCACTAGGCAGAAAAGAAAGCAGAGCGTGTGAACTTGATGAGCTTAACTGACGACGAAAACATGCACATCACAAGGAGTATATGCTCATATCTGTGCATGTCCTCTTTACTTTATCCAAGCTGCTATTGATACGATTCCTGTCTACTCAAATTTGACACGCATTTTATCTGCTTGTAGTATTCTCACATAGTGGAGAAATCTGACGGAAAAGGTCGTAAGTCTATAACTCACACGACTCCGATATCTAGCTTATGTACCTCCAAGAAGAATCATGTACAGAAGTTGTTCATCATACGTTAGAGTCCTTGAAATCATCTGACGACATTGGTAAGATGAGCCTACTTGGAAATCTGGTAGAGATGCTTCGTGAGCATTCATTTGCTGAGTGATTGGAGTGGAAGAAATCATTTGACAAGAGAAGGCAGCTGTAATGGCGGACTGATGATGGGACAGACATCAGGTCGTCATCGACTTTTCCAATGTTTATAATTCTGATGATAGTTTAGTTTCTTAGCGTTCACTCCGCTCGCAGCAACGTCAAATCAGCCCACACTTTACAGGTGTGAGGGGCTCGAAGATATTTTCCCTTGTCTGATACTAATGACAACAGTGTGCATTGCTATGACTGAGATTCTCGGGCCTATGATGAGGTTCTCACTTGATTGGGAAGATGAAGCGATTACATATCAAGGTAAAGAATGTCAAACTGCCTTTCAATTACATAAAGTCCACTTTTGAATCACGAAGATATGCATCTTCAGACCTAGGGGACACGATAATTCATGATACATGTGATGGAGTCAGCAAATGGCAAACCATCTTGAAGCAACTCAGCCATCCGGTAATGGAGGCAAGGTAGATAACAGTTCAGGATCCATTCAGCATGTGTTGTGTGTTGTGACTCCTACAATTATCACAATATTGCTTCAGTGCTTATTTCTATGATAATATTGTATGGGGAAATACTTTAGAAAAGTATTTCCCCGTTTTTTATTATTCACTACATGTATCTGTTGTAAATTTCTTCGTTCTTGTGAGGTTGTATGTTCCATCTGCTATTAAATGACTTATACATTGTGAACAAAGTACACCACATCATACATAATTTTGACTATCCAATTTCATCTGGTGGATTTGAAAGTATATGGATGAAGAATTTAATTACATTGGACATTATTATTCATCTCCATCATCTACAATGATGTAAATCATCACCCTCATCTTTTATGATGATATTTACATGGTTAGAGATCTTATGAGTTCTTGTAACATTAGGTTACAAAAATTTTTATTTCCTACACACAAACTCATTAAATTTAAATTAACTTTTTCTGATAAAGACTACTAATGTGACATTGATACATTATATTAAATAATTCATGCTTAGTGGTAATTTTAGCATGCTTGGTAGATTTTGATATCATTATAACGAATTTTTTGATTTTTTTATGTTATTATGTTAGCATGTGTCATGAAAACACTCGGTGACAATCTTCCTTAACAAACTAGACATAATAGATAAAGATTGGTAATTGCTATTGCTAAATATTCCTAAATGAGCGTTTTTTATAATCAAAATATAAATACAGAATATTGTAACATACTTATATATGTATATATATATATATATATATATATACATACATGAATTTAGCTTCAAAAAATACTGTAAATGATGTAAATAAACTCATGATTATTTTTATTATCGAGATGTTGCAATCTAGATTCAAAACGAAACCATACATTTGTGCTGATAAATTTAATAATTTTAATTCAAAATCAAAATGAATGTGAGATTTGATATAAATTCTATCTTTGGAACACATGAATGAACTAAGAATAATTTTAGTTGGAACCATGTATGCATGTGTTGATATAAAATATAGTTTATATATATTTGAATCAGAATAACTAATAATATCTAATAAAATCTTTTAGCAAATTTATGATTTCATATATGAACTTCACTATTATAATTTTAATTCACTTTGAGTTCATCAAACATAACATATACTTGAAAAAGTATATTTATCAGTTATATTTCAAGCTAAGGTTGTAGTCAAATTGTATTTGTAAAGATTTTGAAAGAAGCAAAAGTTTTATACCATCATACAAATGATGATTAATTAAAACATTGCTTTTATTTATGTGAAAAAATACATAATAATAATAAAGTCAAAAAAATTTCATGTGCTTATGAAATTTGACTGGGATTGTTATGCTTTACTGTCAATAAAAGCATGTCATATTCATATCCTTGATTAGAAGAATTAGATTAATCAATTTTATTTTAATTACAAATCAAACGTATTTTATATTTTTTATATGAAATTATTTATTATACGATTTATATTATTATTGATATTTTTTATATCAATAATTATACAGCACATCAATGTACCCAAATAAAGAAATATGAAAAGAAATTATCTTTGTCACGAGCTTGAACTGTGTGACATTTTGAATACATTTTTTATATGAATCATCTAAAAAATTATGAGTCTAACATATATAAGTATCAATGTATTTTTAATATTATCTAATATACCCGTAAAAATCATATAGCATTGCTGTATAAAAAGCACTAAATTTGTCTCTTGAAAGTAAATAATTTCTGTTAAATGATGATGCATAGATCATGAGTATATACTCATGATCTATGCATAAATCTCCATCTCCAAGTCAGGATTCGCAATATAACAGATTTGATTTTGTGATGCTCTAGGCTAGAGCCTCATCCTTTGTCTTTAAAATCATACATATACCGCTTTATGGGTTTTGTTGTACTATTGCTATGTTACATGTTCTTATTATACCTTTTCCGTGTGCATGGTTGGATGTTCTAATCAGGCGTTTCACGCACAACAAATTTGTTCATCCTTGGGTGCTAACAATTTTTTCTATGATACAGAGAAAGAGAAATTCATATGATTTGACGACTTTTGCCTTCACATTTATTCAAAATGTGGATGAAATGACATGAGCTTTAGATATTCTTTTCAACGTTTCCTGTAATTTAAAGAAATAGCGCAATTAACCTATTTGTCTCATGACCTATGGCTGAAGTTTCCAGACGAAAGGAGATTCAGATGGAGCTCTCTCGCAGTCGATGAAATTGATTGTATCACATTCTTTAATAGCAGGATTTCCGAGACTCTCATCGAACCGAGTGAGTGCCATGCCGTGGTTGTTGTATGCCCTCACGTACAAAATTAATAGCTCTGAAATTCCTTCACGTTAAACTGCCTCGTAGAGGCTTGCTCGAGGGATTCTTGTAATGCAAAGGACAGATTCACATTTTTTAACATGCCTCCCTCTCACTTTAACGATGACTCTGTCGATCACGGATCGAGTGAGAATTCGAATTGCACGCTGGGAATTCCCAAAGTCTAGGCCCTGCGAAGGAGAGAGAGGGCGATGTCGAGCAGACTAGGACGCCCTAGATTGTCCCTCAGGTCTCACTCGCTCACCGTCTTTCGATGAACAAAGCTCCTCGGGGAATACAGCTCAACGAACACCTCATGAGCAGTTCATGAGCAGCCCTCACTTCGATATCAATTGTCAGGAAGATTAAGGGGCGATGATTAAATGGCATGGTCAACGTATGCCGTGGTGTTCAAAGCTCGAACTGGAACAAAGACACGTGAGATATTTTTTTACCTCCCTGAGATATAAATAGGTACAGTTGTAACCACTTGCACTGTCGAGGAGGAGCTTACGGAATTATTCCGATCTCAACTGAAAATCTGACCACTCGTTGACTGAAGAAACCCAGGATCTTCTCGACTCGACAGTCAGTCTGTGATCGAAGTCCAGCTGAAACAAGTGGCAGCATATCCATTGTCGCACGACGACGAAACGCGCAACCCAATCCCTGCACAATGTCTGCTATGCGAACGACATTTCTGTATTTGCATATAGGGGACTAGTTGCACTAGTGCCCTGAAATGGTGCAACGCAACTCGGGACATGAAATGCCGTGTTGTGAACAAGAGCCAATCCCTTGACCTAATCGTCCCGTTCGCCCGGAAGGATTAAATTCGCCTGCACGTCATTGCAAAGTTCTGATCATTGAGTGAGTTGACATAATCATGGCCCTCAAGTCAAAGAATACCCGTGCCCTGAAGTCAAAACTAAGACTATATGATCCAAACGAGAATCGCAAGCTGATGGTGCAAGAAATGAGAGAACAAACGGCGGTGCGAGGATGAGGACGATGACACTCGCGTCTCGCATTGTTGGGCTTGCTCGGCGAGTCTCATCGCAAGTATAAGAAAGATTCGTGCCTTCTTCAAAAGCATTGGATCGCATCTCTAGTGAGAATGACTCTAAGGAAAAACAAAAAGGGGAAAAAAAAAAGGCTTCACCCTCCAAATTTTCCATTCTCGTTGCCAGCGAATGATTCTATTCACACCTTGCCGAGAAGGCAAACTTCAATGAAAGGTTGCATGGCTCGCTGCCCTTTATTAACGAAAAGGACAAAGGTACAATTTTCTCATTAAGAGGCGGAAGTTTTCTCCACAGTAAGCAAGGACGTAACCCCGAATCTGAGAGACCCCGCTGGACGGCACATTCTGTGGTCCTATCGGGGAAGTGATGAAATCCACAACCGATAAGCGAGGGCCGGGCAGTCAGACGGGAGTTGTTAGACATGTTAGGTCATTTAATTTAGTCGCGAGGACACCGAACTATCACTCGGAGCAGCAGATCAAATCGCGAGATTACGAGGCCTTCCATTAGTGAGCGCCACGAAATTCAATCCGGACCCAACTGATCGAGCAGATTGGTGGACAGAGCAGAGCTTCACAGTCGGCGCCTGTGGCTCTGCCTAACTCTGCCAGATATTTGACTCTTGCCCTGTACCCGGCACATTCACATTCACGCGGTCTCGGAGGATGATGTTCCTCCCTACCGACAATCTCCCTCGATCAAATTCGACCTCCGCGAGCCTTTCGGGCCATTTTTCCACTTCAGGAGCCTGCAATGAAATGAATCAAATTTTGGTCAAATCAAATCATTCTTGCATGGAAGGAAGGGGCGTGCGGATCAAATATGCACATGAGACAACAACTCCATTCTAACATCAGATAGTGTCCTGTACTATGTGGCGGAGTAATTATCTTTGGAACTAATCAAAATGGATATGATTTGAATGCTTTTTTCTTGACAACTGGATATTTTTGTATTCCACATGGGATCTGTTATTTTGATTGTCGTTAATTTCGTTGCGAAGAGAAATTATGAATTTTATCTACTTATGCCTTTATACACATTAAATACACATTTCTACATATTAATATATCGATGATATATATGGTGATATGATATGACATCACCTGCATTCATTTCAACTATGGAGATTGAGTTCTGTTTACCTTGAACATGTAAGCAATGAACTGATGTGGCACATATCTCGGGCCCTATCCTTGCAAAGCTGTAGGATAATTTTTTCTTGACGTCTAGATTTCTTCAATTTAAATAAGAAGAAATATCACGAGGTTAAGATTCTTCACCCGAAGATATCATCTATGTTATGAGATTTGTTTTCTGGGTGTTACACAAGGTTTGAGAAGAAATTTAATCTCACACACCATATTTGATTTTTTTTCCCCAGAAATTTGCATGTAGAGCATCAGAACCATAAACTGGCCATACTCGCTTTTCTTTGTTAGGATTGCAAGAGACTACAAGACTCGTTCTAACTTGCTCATCCTTTTTAGTCTGTCTGTTATGACTATTCTGCACGAGTGGTCCGCCAGCCAAACAGAAGGAATCCAGCCACCTCTCTCTAAGCCTTAAAATACGAAACAAATGGGCGAAAAATGAGTGGTTTTGGTAAATCAGTCCGGGAACGCCCCGAATTGTACAGCACTAGGAAATTGCGAAGGACGTCAAAAGCTGTCCGAATTTTTCTCGTGTCGCAAGTCCCCGCAAGCGTACAGAGGCAGTGGTTGCAACCGGATCTGCCCGTTCGAACCACTCCTTTCGTATGCCACCTCCCGTCACGCGCGCCAGTGAGCGGGCGGCAGGTGGCGGTCAACCAGGACCGGCAAGGAGCAGCAGCAACAGAGATATCGAAGCCCGGACCATCATGAAACTTGGAGGTCCCTTTTCGCACGAGCTCGGACCGGAAAGCTCCCAAAGTCCCCGTTTCACACATGACCCAAATATATATATATATATATATTCCCACCTTTCCCGGGGATCTTCCCATCCTTTTCCTATCCACTTGTCCCCCGTTGCTTTTCGCAAGGCTAAGTCTACTTGGTTCGTATTTTCCCCGCCTTTTCGTATATCCCCGTGACGTGTACCGCCCCTGGACTCGGGTCCGGTCACCGGACCAGGCACCTGAACGGCAGGCGAAGATATGAGACGAGACTGACCTGGCCTAGTCCGGTCCGGTCCGGTCAAATGGTCTCGCCGTAGTCCCCACCTACTGCGACTACCTCCTCTACAGCGTGGTGACTATTTCCTCCCTCCTCTCGCCTGCTCACCTCGCTATGATGAGAGACGAACTACAGTAGGCTCGGGACGTGCACGGCGGAGACCATGTAAAACTTATGGAACACATGGCGCTCGGAGGGCAGGGGAATCCTCACCCTTCCTTCCTTGTTCGACCCGACGGGTTTCTTCCCAGAGGTTTCCTCTCGTTGCCAACGAAATTTTTCACATTGGAGGCGGGAAAAAATAATCGTCTATCGGACTTCGAAGGCACGCATTTGTATTAATCTTTTATTTCTTACGAGGGCCGAAGGAGTAGAGTTACAGGAGTAGCTGCCACGGCTCCTAGTGAGATGAACCGCATGTGGCTAAATACTCAATGACGGGGGACACATGTACTTGAGGTGCAATAGCACATGCGATGTAGCGAAAAGAGGTCTCTGGGGAAATGTATAAGGCAGGTCACGGATGTTTCTGAACGCCTAAAATAAGCCAAACTGACATATTTTGATAGACTGAAGATTTAAGTATTATTGTATCCAGAATTAGTTTTATAAATCAGTCCGTGATCGGAACTCGAGTTATTACGACTTTGTGGGTTTTCTAAGTGAAGAGGAAGGATGTCGAAGTAAGAGAGAAATACGTTTTATGGGAATTTGGGAAGAACGTACCTTTTCAATACGTAACGCCAGTGATATACGATTTGATTTTTGATCGCATTCTGGAGGCTGAAAATTGTACGAAGAGGATGTGGGCATGACTCGAATTGTTCGTCCTTTCAATGATTCTCTTGAATCAAGGTACACGTCTATTTATTCCTGCTTAATTATTATTAACATGTACTTTCCTTGCGTTCAGCCAAAGTCTGAAACAAAATAAGTTTCTTCCAAGCATTGAGTGCTGATTACACAAGAGATTGCAATGTTGGGGACATAAGACACCACCTGAATTATAATACTAATGCAGCGGACTCTTACGAGACGCATTCCATGTATTATCCACTTTGCTTCTGAAACACGATGAGCTCAAGCCTTTGTGTCATTCATCACAAAGTTGAAAAGGGCTGAACGCAAAATGTCTGATATTGGATAGGTCTGACTCACTCTTACTACCAGGGCTCTCCATATAGGATTTTCAGTTTGATATCCTTATAAATCCCAGTTCGTAGAATGAATATAATAGTCATATCTCCAGGTGCTTAACCCTCCGTAACCGCAATATTCAGGTTAATTCGGTGCGTTATGGAGGCTATTTTCTTTCTCTCGGAAGTGTTCAAATCGCCAAATGTGCACATTCTATGTTTGATGAAACGCTCCAGTTTTTTTGCCTGTGTAAGAATTCTTCAAACTCTGCGGAGTGAATTCATGAGGCAGGTCTAGAGTTGATTAATCAGGTACGATGCAGTGATTCGAAAGATATATGGAGGTGCCGATTTACCATAGTCAATAATAGACATTTAACATGTAGAGAACTTCATTTTAAGTGGGCGGAACCCGGAGAATTGCGCTCATCCGGGTCGACTCTACTCGCACGTTCTTGCACTGAGAGAGAGAAAGGAGTTCACAGAGGTCTCGAACGAACAAGCAACAAGGTCGAGATGGAGATGGAGATGGAGGGGCTATGGTGATCGAGGGCAATTGCGAGTATTTCTGAATCGGGCTCTCGGACGGACGGAGGACGGGGGCAACGTTTGGCCCTCCTCGCGACGCCGCATCTGCGAACACCAAAAGCGAGCACGCACAGAAGATTCCTAGGGCGACGTCCATCGGAATAGGGCCCACGTGACGATGACAGCCGCCAAACTCTGCGAAGTGCTCCCCTTATCTGGCCTCCTCCGACGATGGAACCGAAGGTGGTCCGGCCGAGGACCGGTCGCGGAGCTCCGAATCCGCGGGGCCCCGCCACGGGCTGCCGCGAAGTCAAGCGCCCGCCGGGCCCGCCAGCGCAAACCGCCACGTCACGAGCCCGCAGAAACGAGCCGCCGGAGCGAGGGCGCGAGACTTACCGGCTCTGCTCCGCTCCAGATCCGGCGCTCCGGCTGGACGGTGCAGATGCGTGTGGCTCCACGGAGGGTGCAGATTCCCTGCTGCGGATGGAGATTCCCCACCCGCGGGTGGATAAAAACCAGCCGCCATGAACCGGGCGAGCTGTTAATAGATCCCATCCGACGGCTGTGCTCCGTCGCTGCTCGCATCCGAGGGCTTGCATCGCCCCGAGAGGTCCCGTGCCGACGCAGGTTCCGGCGGGAGTAAGCCCGATAGAAAAGGGGAGCGTGGAGCGGTAGAAGGAGGGCGAGAGCGAGCTAGCGAGCGCGAGCGCCAGGGCCAGGGCGAACGCGAACGCGAAGGAGTGAGTGAATGCATGTGGACGAGGGCGGCCGAGCTCGCACCAGGAAGAGCTGTAGAGCAATTTCGTCGCGCCGTGGCGATTCGATTGCGATTGGAACATGATCGTCGAGTCTCCGTGTACGCAATTGCGATCTCATGCGGATTTGAGCGAGCTGAGCTCGAGCTTCCTCCGCGCCAAGTACCGGGCGACGACGAGAAATCGAGAAATCGAGACCACGGCGAGCACGAGCACGAGGACGAAGACGAGGACAGGTCGCGGAAGCCAGAGCAGCAGCGAGAGATTTTGCTGCCTTTCTGTGGTGAGGCGTTTTGCTGAGAGAGGGAGGGCGAGGGCGAGGGCGAGGGCGAAGGCGAAGGACGAGGAGCGTGAGTAGGGAGCCGACAGTTATCAGACGGTCGCACCTCGTCGGTGAGCTTCGTCATGTTTCTTGTGTCCTCTGTGTGGGGTTTGTGCGTTTGTGGCTTTTCCCCCGTTCGATGGGAAATTGAGTCTCGTGGGGAGGATTCTTTCGACTCAGGCGAGGTTGACGAACATTGTGTGGTCAATTGAGTGTATGTTGGTGCCTTTGTCGTCCCCCAGGGTTCTTGCACTGCGGGGTCCATGTCGAGTATGTCGCAGTCTTTGCTCGGAGTCCGTGTTTTATTGTCTTGTTCTAGGTCATCGATTGTGCACGGTCGTCTTTCTGAATGTACTTCGTTGCTCGGTCAATCAGCTCTATCAGTTCGGCATTTCGGTCGTTTCTTGTTGTAGCATAGACACTCAGCGCTCGAGGCCTCTAGGTTGAGAACGGATGGCGTATCAGTGGCCGAACTGGCGTTATAAATTTCGAAGAATTGGAACTGGCGGCAGAGTGGATGAATTTGTATGCAGCGCAAAATTGGCGATGATGGCCATCGTTTGAACTCTATCCATCTGCGCAGTGGGAGTCTACATTGCGTTAGTGGTTTGTTCGGAAATCGTGCATTCGGGCCGTTCTGTTCGTCCGTCGTAGCTAATCGCTTGCCCCTGCTTTGGCCGTCGTCTGTGCCAATTTGAAATATAGGTCAGCGGTCTTGCCTGCAAGTTTGACATCATGGCGAGCGAGAAGAAGGATGCCAATTCCCAGAATACTCAGGATCAGCTCAAGCGAGCAGAAATTTACACTTACGAGGCACCGTGGCTTATTTACGGCATGAATTGGAGTGTACAGAGGGAACACAAGTTCCGTCTTGCCATTGGAAGTTTCATCGAGGAGTACTCGAACAAGGTGGAAATTGTGAGGCTTGATGATGAGACGGGTAAGTTCAATTCGGATCCGAAGCTTTCCTTCGAACACCCGTATCCCACGACGAAAATAATGTTCATCCCCGACAAGGAGAGCCAAAAGCCTGACCTCATGGCCACCACCGGAGACTATCTACGCATCTGGCAGATCAATGAAGACAAGGTGGAGCTCAAGAGTCTTCTCAACAACAACAAGAATAGCGAGTACTGCTCCCCGCTTACGTCGTTTGATTGGAATGAGACTGAGATGAGACGGCTGGGTACCTCCAGTATCGATACAACCTGCACTATCTGGGACATAGAGAAGGAGGTGGTAGACACGCAACTCATTGCTCACGACAAGGCTGTATATGATATAGCTTGGGGAGGAGTAGGAGTGTTTGCTTCAGTGTCGGCCGATGGATCTGTGAGGGTGTTCGATCTGAGAGATAAAGAGCACTCTACGATCATCTATGAGAATCCTCAACCTGACACTCCTCTTCTTCGACTTGGGTGGAACAAACAAGACCCGCGCTACATGGCGACCATTGTCATGGACTCTGCGAAGGTCATTGTTTTGGACATTCGATTCCCCACGCTGCCAGTGGCAGAGCTACAACGCCATCAGGTGAGACGAGTGTATGTAGTGGCACGATTTTTTCGAGTTCAAGTTGCATGGGCTTCTGCTTTTGTCATTTCTTTTTGCAAATGCCGTCCTGCATCTACGCCGATCATTAAAGGAATTTTGACGCTACAAGTGGAGGACAATTATCCCGCTCGTTCCTATCACCCGTCTAGGTGGGGTTGGTGTCCAAATCCTTCAATCTTCAATCTAGAAGTAATGAGCAAGCATATCAAATCGAGTGCTCACGTATGTTTTGTTGTACAGGCTTGTGTAAATGCAGTAGCATGGGCTCCTCACAGCTCCTGCCACATCTGCACAGCGGGTGATGATTCGCAGGCTTTGATCTGGGACTTGTCCACTATGAGCACACCCGTGGACGGAGGTCTCGACCCTATTCTTGCTTACACGGCAGGGGCTGAAATCAATCAGCTTCAGTGGTCGTCTACGCAGCCGGACTGGGTGGCCATAGCATTTTCCAACAAGTTGCAGATTCTCAGGGTGTGAGGTTTTAAGTACTTCTCACCAATTTTGGTGGACATCTGGGTGTGAAATAATCGGGGCCTTGATGCAAGGGAAGAAGGGCGATTCACCCATTTGCGGGACGATGGTGATGACATCCTCCTTTGCATTCTCTATGCAGTGATGATTTTTAGTTTGGCGCTGTATCACATCTCTGGATCGGATGGTCAACTTTGAGCAGATTCATTGGAATGTGAGTACTCAGCAGAAGCATTGTAACAGTACGTCGGAGGTTTCGTATTGGAGCCTAGAGAATTTAGTCGAATCTGGAGTAGTATACTGGACCTTCTCATCTTTCCCCTAGGATCCCAGTCTGGGCAGGGGTTGGAGGCGTGGCCGATTCTAGCCTGCAGACCAGAGCAAACTTACACGATCAATGTTCTGCATTATACTATGGCTGGCCGACCATTGATCTCTCATTGCGAACTGAAAGTATTTGTGTAGGAAACAGAGTCATGTACATCTCGAATCCATTGCCCATGGTTTGCTGCTGGTTGGATTAGTATCTGGAAGCGAAACTGCTCCTTCCGGCAAGGCCGTGTCGAATGTGCCTATTTTGTGGATGCAAGGTACCAGGATATGCACTATCGGATACAGCTTTTGCTCTGACGGTCGAGATGACATGGATGACCTGAAGTGATCTGCCACAACAGCAGGTGCATCTTTTGAGGTGGAGAGTCACTCTTCGAGAGGATTTTCATAGTAATGGGTATGGGAGTTGTAGATGACGCATCAGCTTGCGTTATGGCGCTCATGACTTGCCCAGAGATGTCATTGGTGTTGTCGAATGAAACGTCTGTGGTCGTAGCACCAACCTGTAGGTATGTCATTTTCTCGAAGCGAAGCTCTTCTTTATCACAAGAAAGGCTGCCTTCTGGAAGTCAGAGGAAAAGCCAGAGTTTGGAGTGTTCCAATGGTAGGTTGGTAGGCCGGTACGAGCAAGGAAGTCCAGACAGAGTCTCAGACTGTTGGCTGGCAATTAAAACCAACCAGTACCTCACAACAGAAGTCATGGTGTCAAATCAACAGATGCTCGAAGATGAGTGTTATGTTCAAGCTTACTATCTGGTCTTCTGTATACACGAGGGGTACCGCATCAATCCGATCTTCAATCCAGATACGTCCTCCTCGGGCATGTGACCTTCGTGTTCTGTCCGGTCTTTGCTAGCGGGTGTAACGTTGAATATTGGATCAGAACGTGAACGTGAGCCTGGTCCAGAGGAGCCCAGCTCGGTGGGATATGTATCATAGTGGAGATGGGAGCTTTATAAACACTATCCAGGTGGTTAGGTAAGAGAATGAGGATAGACACGAAGAACAGTCTCAAACCTCTGCTTATACATCTTTCATTGGTGACTTTCTTATGGGAGCACTGTGTGTACTATTGAAACAGAGTTGGAATGACAATTAAGTTTACTGACAGCAGCAACGGATTTCTCTGTGCAGTTCGGTTATGCTTATGTCTACATGCTTCTATTTTATATATAAGATTATATATATATATATATAATATCTTATAATTTTAGTTGTGAATGGGTTAACGATCCTTGCATGAGTCGGGTGAGTTATCCACCAAGCGAAGATACACAACGCAATCAAATTCCTAGTAGCCTAACTCGTAGACGTTCATGGTTGTGTTGCAACGATTGGTAGAATTTTGCAAAGCATGGAGTGAAGGCGGTGTCTGGTAGCATGGTGTGGCAATATTCGGACATACACATTCGAAACATTCATACCACTCTAGAATAGTACAGAGATTCCCAAGTCGCCGATGACTTAAACACCTCGTTGGACTCGGACAGAGTGACGTGTTGGTGTAATGCTCCATCTTTGTCTATTTTATCTGTCTTACTCATCGACATTGGCCAGTTACACCCAAGATGACGTATGGCCGATTGTAACGTTCTCTATGTCCAATGTGCGATAAACTGCGACGCCTGCCACAGTCAGCTTCCACACTCCCCAGGCCTACTGAAGATTGTGTCCGACTCCAAGACTTAAGTTCACAATGTGATGTTTTTCAGTTTCTCAAACTTAAGATTTTGTCAACGATTAGTATCATGTCCGGGTTAGGAAGTGAAGATGTTTAAAAAATGTGAAGTGCTGATTGTTAGACTTCGTTTCACCCGGTAGAGGAACTAAGGGTGGAAACGTGTGCAACGGATGACAAACCTAATGCTAGAGTGTGCAGGTCTTGAAGTCAGTGGCCACCTCGGACTTCACCAAGCGGAAAAATCCAAATCGATTACAGTCAACAATGGAGACTCTTAATCTTCGTGTGTCGAAATCTGTGATGAATTCTTGAAAAGATCAGGTTAGGCAGTTTAGTTCACCTCATGTGTTCTTTCCTGAGTTGAAGGAAACACGCGACTCGTTGGTCCGTTACGTCACTGATAATCAGCTCATGTCTTGGAAACAAATTCACTTGTGAGAAAGTGTCATGACATGTTACTTCTTCACCGAAGTCCCGTAACGTGAACGAATTGTGGTCACAGGTGGTCCACACTACAACTCCGATTCACAAATGCACAGTATAATTCGATCCGGATTGACATCTCGGTAGGTGTCGACCTTTAAATGGAGAGAAGAAATATCCTCGAAGTGGTCTCATCTGTTGGAAGTTTTGCTGTCTACAGCTTCACCCAACCGGAACTAAAAAGAAAGAGGCAGAAACATCACTTATAGAAAGAGGCAGAAAAAGGTCCAGCACCAGATGTTCGGAGTCAATGACTAGGTCCAGCTTCGTACAAAACCTAGCCTAAGTTGAGCTTAATTAGGTTGTACTTTCACATCATCGACGGTTTTCTTGCAAATTGTTCTCTCAGTCAGTTATTTGGATTGGGGCAAGAGTCCATCTTGCAGTTCCCAGGTCCAAATCAGATCATCGGATTAAATAATCCTGTATCTGACTTTCTCGAGTGAAATCTAGAGGTTCAGGATATAATTAATGCAGAAGTACCAGGATGGACCTACGAATGCGAAGGGGGTAGTAACCGTCCAAAGACGGACATGCACGGGAGGCACAGTTGTGCATAAAAGAGCAGGAACGTAACCAAGCAGCCCAATCGGCTCCGCAGGCAAATAACTCATTACAATTGCTCTGTCGGTGTTCCATGGGAATTCTATGCTCATTGAAGTTTCGAGATTGTTTCAGATCGTTCAATCATAATTCTTCTTGCGAAGGCCTGACACCTTATAGACTTCATCCTACTTTAAAGTTGCACTCCAAAATAGAGCGATTTACCCATTATGTTCCAGCGCTCTCTTAAACAAGATAAATCTGATGTGACTTCATTCGAACCAGATTCCGACTCATTCATGCAACTGTAACTTGCGTGTGGAGGAAGCGACTGTCTGAAGAAGTATTGTTCAGATCGATCCAAAACCAATCAAGCTGACTTGTCAGTAACTGGAATCATGAGTGCATGCAAACCTTGAATCTCATGTATTGAGCAATTTATGAGTTGCTACCTCTAAACCTTGCCATAAAGTTCTTCAAATGGAAAGTACCTACGGCATACCATCGTTCCAAGTATTCCTTACCTGGTTTCCTCACGGTATACCCTGTCTTCTTACAGATCAGAGTAGGAAGATCTTCCAGAGGTCTGAGTGTAGATGAGCGGAGGGAAACTAACGACTTCGTCTACAGGACTCTGAGAACGCTCTACATGCTGCAATCACCAGCTCACATATGCATCGTAGCCCAGCTCTCTTCTGCCAGAAATAATGCACCAATATTGGCTGTTTCAGCTGATACAAGTTTTCAGTGAAGAAGAGAGTGGGTGTTGGTGACCATGATTGTTTTCCAGGGGTTAGTATAAATTGAAGGAGACACGAAAGCAAATGAGATCCAGTCCACTCGTGCTCCTGCAATGGACGACGGTAATTGAAGACGAGAGGTTTGCAGAGTGCGAAGGACAGAAATCCACAAAGGAGGCCTGAGATAATAAATGAAACTCTAAGAGCTGAGTGTAGCTTGGACTTGCAGCCGTGATTCCTTGAGACTCTGTGTTCCAAAGCCTTACAAATAGGAAAAAGGTGTGGGGGAACATGTACTCTTTTAAGTTCTCACGACTCTTTCTGGTGAAGTACCAGCTGTTCGTTTGCTTGCTGATCATGGTGTAACGCATGTGCATTGGACGAGGCTTTGAAATCAACAGCAACGACGAGCAAGTCAGGGAGGGAGGGCGGGAGCCTCTATTCCACTGAATCCGCAGCACCACTAAGTAGTGTCTTTTACGCTCCTTCGACGGTCGACCGAGTCACTTGCGGTTATTGATATTGGTACGACCGGCCCGCCCGTCCTCTGTACTGAGAACGAACCTCGTGTACTGCGAGTGCCTTAAGAGTAAGGATGTCCAAAGGACTAATGCTTTGAGTACTTCCTTCAGACGCACGTTTCCATACACCTCATCTCTCTCTGCTGTAACTTGCAGGACGGAAAGGGAGTGCCACTATATCTTTCTGCATCTGTTCTTCCTCCGTTCCTCTCCTTGAAACCTTGCACTTAGATCCTGATGGTGACATTCATCATCTGCCATACATTGACTCTAGAGTCGGAAACTACTGGTGAACAGAGAGTTGGACGTAGTTGAGGGTGAGATTGTCGATGGTGAAGAGATTTAAGAGTTCAGAGCTCTTCCACATCTGTCTCACTCAGCTCTTTAGATACCTGTGTGTCTATTTTGCTGCTATGATACGAGCGTCCTGACTCTAACTCGAGACCTCGATTTCAGAATTCAGAATTCGGTATAGCGCAATGTATTTTAAATATACACTTCAGCCAAAAGGAAAGACTTCCATCGTAGTTGGTTTTGGTAATGATCTCTAGCTGAAAACATCATTTCTGCTCGTGCGAGCAAAGAGCAACGAGTGTTTTCAGGGATGCTTGTGTACTACCTGCAAAATACTTTTCCTACGAAAATAGACTCAAACCAGCAGTCGTGGTTGCTCCCCACAACACTGGGTAGCCATTTATTCTACACATCACTCGATGGGAACGTGTGGAGTAAACTGCATGAACGAAATAAATGAAAGAATCTATATGAAACACCGGCGGTCGTAACAGAGCAGGAAAACACTAGCCACAGAGGAAAAGTAACTCGCCCAATTCATCAACAATGTTTCATCATGGGCAAAGTCACAAGATTTCAGTTCTCTTAGATATTTTGCTACTTGACGGGCATGGGTCATGGGTGATGGTCATGGTCAGAAGACTTGACTGCAATATCGAAGGGTAAAAAAGGTTCACTCAGTGTCAGCGAAAAGAATGGAATGCATCCAGAAGGATGCGGATCCCTACTAGAAAACTGCAACGCAACAAGAAACAGAAAGCCCAAAATATAAGATTGGCTGAGCAACGTGAACTGGGATATGTATACCATATATGACTATGAAATGTTACGAAGAAATAATCACAAAATTGAAACATTATGTTGAAGTGACTCGGAAGTGGTGTGTCTTCAAGCTTGGCAGCTTGAAGACACACCAACGCCCTTATGGAAATTAGCAGTCGACAAATTTTGACCGATTTTTGCGCAACGCGTGAGTACCACATTATTCCTGTTGGTTCAAAACTCTGATTTTCTCGAAGCCCCACTGCTCTCAAAAAAATTCAATTTCTTTAGTTTTCGCAGATTGGCTCCTTATTCTTGCATCGGAGGAAGTTCTTGCATCTGTATACTCCAATCTTCCCGAAGAATGTAAATTTCATGCAACTTGAAACCTATTTTTAAAATGTTGCGTGCTGAAGTCTCACCATCGAGGGAGTGATAGAGAGACATGGAAAGGTCTCCGTGAGCAGCAAATTCCATCGATTATCAAATGCTTTTCCTGGTCACCACTACTTACCAGGTTGTCTGCAGACTATAGTTGAGATCACAAACTGTGTTGTTAGCACGAGGATCGCAGTAAGACATCGAAAGGCCACGCTCAGCGGAAAATCCCATCCCTTTTCAAATGCTTTTCCTGGTCGTCATTGCTTACCAAGTTGTCAGCGGACTATAGTCGAGACCAAAAACTGTGTGGTTAGCGCAAGGATCGGATCGCAGTAGAGGACGGGAGCGGAGTTCGTTACATACGTGCCCTGTATATACATTGAAGAAAATGGGATATCACCCAATTATAAAACATAAAATAAAAGGAGGAGGAAAATTGTTGTTATAACACATCTTAAACACACAAAGCTATACCGTATCCATATTGTCATCATTAATGTAGGTGCTACAGCTATCATCCATTTTGGATTAGAGTATCAACCTATTACACAAGGTAGAGGTTATTGTATGCTATCGACACTAAGACAATAGGGTCATATTTTATAGAGCAAACCATGTTCGCATTAACTTCGCGTTAATGCCATATTGAACACAATTGATTTACACTTTCCTCTTGTTCTCATGTGTCCACTTATAAGTACAATGATTGA